CGCAAAAAAAAATTCTATGAAGTCCGTCTTTGGTATTATTGTTATCTACGATGTCTTTCATGCATTTATTACATATTTATTCCAGGAAAACTTAATAAAGGTAGAATCCGAGTTAAAATTGATGGATCCGCAGATTAATTTCAAACAAGAAATGCAGGAAGAACTAAAGGTACTGAATAGACTAATACTGAGAGTTGCAAAATGATGTTAACTTCCCTTTTTTAGCTCAGTTTGATAAATGTTCTAATTTTATTCCAGAAAGTAGCCCCTCAAAAGGTTGTGAGATTAAGAAGCAGATTTTTAGAGACAGAAAACGCAAGGAAAATGTGGCAGCCAGTTCACGAAGAACTGATGGTAAAATTTTCATGTGCTATAATTTTTTTTGTACAATAATTTTCATGATTAGATGTACCTTTCTTTGATATTAAAATTTCAATTTTTCTTAATATAATCAATATTTTTATACAGAGAGTTTTGGCTAAAAGAAATCTGGAGAAAACAAAAATCCAAAGACAAAAGGAGATCATGTTGAAAGAGCTCAAGGTAAATTTGCCACAAATTTCAGTCATGACTTGCAATGTTTCAAGAACTTAAAAATGAGAACAATTCACAATGAAGAAAGGTAAATTGTTACATGCAATAATTTCTGATCATTTTTGATATTCAGGTAGTGGGATCCAGAGCTGCAGAGCATAGAATGACAACGAGGGAGAGAGCAGAAATAATGAGGAGATGTATTCACAAAGAGCTGATGGTAAGTTTTCATGTGCTGATGTGCATTTCCTTTATTTATATTAAATTTCGTTATCATAATGTGAAATGAGACTTTTGATTATGTTCTTAATTTTAATGTTCCTGTCTTGTTTGTGTGAATATTTTGTTTGTTTTAATTTTATCAAAACATTTATTCAGACTGTTTTGACCAAGAGAAATTTGGAGGAAAAGCAGATAAGAAGACAAACGAAAATAATGTCGGAGATCCTAAAAGAACTTAAGGTTTTACTATATTTGGCAGTTGTTTTTTTTTTCAATGTTTAAATTTGTAAAAAGTAATTGTAATATTAACTATGAATAAAATATGGGAACTTTCAAGTTTTTAAAAAATAAAGAAAAATCACAAAGAGCAAAAGGGTAAGAAGTCAATAATTAAAAAGAAATAAAATGATTTTTTAGGTGGTAACATCCAGAGATGTAGAGCGTAGAAAGGAAATGAAGGCAAGAGCAGAAACAATGAGGAAATCGATTCACAAAGAGCTGATGGTAAGTTTTCATGTGCAAATCCTTTATTCTATTTTTTTTATTTTGTGATTTTTTTTTATGTCCCTTGATTATTTTCTAAAATTTAAAGTTAATTTCTTTTTAAAAATTAAAACTTGTTTTAATTCTATCAAATATTATGTGCAGACAGTTTGGACCATGAGAATACAGCTCCAAAGGCAAAAGGCAATGATGTCTGATATATGTAAAGAGCTTATGGTAAATTTGGCAGTTTTTAACAAAATGAATTAATTTTATTTCCGAGTGTGTGTATTATTACCTAAGTTTATACAGACATAAGCCAATGCTACCTCACATTTGAGATATGATGAATTTTTAACCACACACATTTCATACATTTGTTTCAGGTACATGTAACTGTAGACACCAGGACAAAAATGTTTAAAGAAGGAAAATTAGGAGAAAACATTGAACCTGCCCTTAAGGATGTAGTTGTAAGTTACATTTTTCATTCATTGATGGTTCTCTATTTTTAAACATTCTCATACATCTAAAAAAAAAATGACTGCATAATTTTCATAATCTTGACCTAAAATTAAAAATAAAATTTAAAATTATTGTTAAGGTCAAGATCTAGTAAATGACTGTAGACTAACTTTTTGGTGCTAGATCCATTATGACGTCATAATCAATTTCAACTTTCTTTTTCCCGTACTCTACAGCTCTCATAGAATTATGTAGAAAATAAAGTATTTTCATGGAATTCAATTTGAAATCATGTAAAAAGTAATCCCGATACCTATATTCAATTTAATATTATTTTAAAGAAGAGGCCAAGAACATACAAATTACCGTTTTCTGAGAGACTGTAGGCAATCTGGATACATTTCCTTTGTCTGATATGAAAAAAAACTCACATATTCATGACTTGTTTTCTTAATTTTTCATTGAAATTGACAGTTTAAAATATTATTTTTCGTCTTATTTTTCTACAAATTATGTCCCGAAACACCTCATTTGACCAAGCTAAAGTTACAAAGCATCATTAAAGGAATTTATTTCTCAAATTTGAGAAATCTGTAGGCACCTTTCATTTACGAGATCTTGACCTTAAGTACTTTGATGAAAGGTTCAATGTGTTACAGAAAACCATCAAACCAGACACAGCAATGCCTGAAGAGGAACAAGATTTATTTGTTCCAAGAAAATTATTCCTCTTCAATGTAGAAACTTTTAAGAATTTTCAACAGGTAAAAAATTGATTTGATTCCATCTTTTTTTTTAACTTTTAGGAAAACGTTTAGAAAACTTTCATGTACAGAAACATTCCATTAATACAGTCCGTAAATATTTTATGCATATTTTTAATATTTACGTAAATTCCGTGGGAGATGATAATTATTTAATATTCTCTTTGAATGAGTGATGGAGGGGGGGGGGGGGGTTACAAAAAGTGCTTCACAAAGTCTTTTGTTCCGTTTTAGAATATTGAGACTGCAACTCTCCATGAGAAATCAGAAATCATGGATAACAAATGCACATCAAGAGTAGATATGGTATGTAGTAATTTGTATGGTACCAATGCATTTATTTTCATTTGAATGTAATTCAGTAAAAAATAGTTCATGAAAAGCTACAACTCTTATGTCTTTAATCATAATGTACTTTATTTAAAAAAAAAGGTTAAAAAACACCCAGTGTTGCTATGATCGAGGATTGAATTCAAGGGATGAATGTGCAATATCTTTGCTATATCTCCGTTACAAAAATAAAATCAATGAAGTGATTTGAAATTCAACTTACTTTAACATGTGAGAATTAATTTTGTTTTTCAGGTACCTTCTCTGCCAAAAAAGAAATCATTCGGACGGAAACTTCGAAAAATTTTCGGGTTCAAATAGGATAGCATAGTAGTCTGTGTTTGTGACTTATATGAAGAAAGCTGTGTTTCATATGAAAGATACTCACTTGTGATACATTGCTTGGACATTAACTAACATTTTATATGATCGATCATCTCTCGATCTATACAATAAATTTTAATTTTTCAATAACTACTCATCATTCTTTCCATTATTTTAATAAAATACTGATCAATACATAAAATTGCATTTTTTATGTATATACTAGTATATTTGACTTGTAGGTGAGCAGGTGTATCTATTGCATGGACTTCATGTTTCTGGGGGTTAATTTCGATAAAATATACAGTTAAAGTATATAATTGAGGGCGATAGCAAAATTCCAGTTAGGGCAGGTACTCTTCCCACAATTCCGGTCGTTCGCGCACTTCAATATTGAGTACGCGAACGGAATTGTGGGAAAGGTACCAGACAAGATTCCGGACTACTTCCCGTGCCGAAGCCCGTGTTAGCAAGATTCCAGCTTTATCGTATGTCTTGTTGTTGTTTAATTAATTCACCATTAATTAAAGGCATATTTTCTGCTTGAGTGTAGGTTAATTAGAGTCATCATGATCATAGGAAACGGTTGTTTTCTTACATAATTTGTCATAAATACTAACACGTAAATATCAATGAAATCTATAATCACTGGATTTATAATAAAAGAGGACCAATATTTGATAAATACAGACAAACATATTTTTTTTCAGCACAACTACATACGGAAGCATATTAGGGCCGCAGCAGTATCTTTTCTTAATTTGCTATAACAAATCATTAATTTGTCATAACGAATTTTGATATTTCTGATGCAAAATTTAAAATTCATGTACAAATTTTGCGTAAGAAATATCAAAATTTTTGTGAAGGTTGAATAGTTGCATCACAAGGATTTGGATTTTTCTGCTAATTTTTTTGTTTGTAATATTTATTTTATGGAAGTTATCAACACACCTAAGGTGAAAATAAATTCTGAAATCTAATTGCACATTTGCATGACACCTCCAATCATCTTGCAAAAGATGAAATGGCTACTGCGTTAAATTATGAGGAGGTTCGGGAACCAGATTTTTATAAAATGAAAAATGTCGTTTTTCGACCCCCATGGTAAAAATGAAAATCCCAAAACCTTATTTAACGTCTACAGAACACCCCCGATCATCTTGCAAAAGATGAGATGGCTGTGTAAAAGGCATGAGGAGTCGTTTTTCGACCTCCTAAGTGAAAATGAAAATTCTGAATCTTTATTGCACATCTAGAGTACACCACGTATCATCTTCCAAAAGATGAGAAGGCTACTTTGTAAAATGTCAAAGGAGTTCTGGAAACCAGTATTTTTGAAGAGGTAAACGGCGATTTCGACGCCCTATGACAAAAATCAAAATTCCGTAACCTTATTACACATCTACAGGACACCGCATATGTTCCCAAAGACTATTTGGCTACTGCATAAAGAGGAGTTCTGGGAACCACATTTTGTAGAAAAAGTTGTTTCTTGACCTCAGTTTAGCCCCCAGGATGAAAATCAAAATTCTGAAACTTTATTGCGCATCTACAGTACACCACGTATCATCTTCCAAAAGATGATTTGGCTACTGTGTAAGAGGAGTTCTGGGAACTAGGTTTTGTGGAAAAACGTCGTTTTTCGACTCCCATTTGGACTCCAGAATAAAAATTAAAACTCTGAAACCTTATTCCATATCTAAATGACACCACCTATCATATTCCAAAAGATGAATTGGTTACTCTTAGTATAAAAAAAAGGGAATTTGAGGAAGAGGAAAGTGTGACAGACGGACTGACCAGGATATAACAACAATATACTCGAACTATGCGCTTATAACAACAAAGAATATAACTTTTGTTAAAGCTTTTCTTTTATGGAAGAAACAGTAGATGGCCAGAGAATGCTGTCTCAACTCCAGCATTGATGACTGTGTTTCCAGTATCTGTATTTTGAATCCACATTTTATCCCCTTTATTCATGAGCACTATAATCGCACCACTTCCACGACCAAACCATCTCTGGTTGTGTTTATCTGCGTACACATCGAGTACTCTGACGCCATTGTGCATCATTTCTCCGTGACCGTTTTCTACGTCACTTGAGAGCACCAGGTCAAATTTGTAGATGCCGTCGACAGGAGCAGCGAATGTCCCAATGTTTTCGTCATAAGCATTTCCCTTGTTCAGTTGGACGTCATCAAAGACGATAATGGTAGATTGGTGGTGATTGGTTATTTTGTTACGAAGCCTCACAAAGAAAGCTACTTGCGCTTGGCTGTTTGCTATGAATAAATTTGGCGGGAAAATCAAGAAAACAAATGTAATGAGCACATGTTTACTAATTTTACAATTATTGGCTTTTTTTCAGTCAATACGATAATTTAGCCACCTGAGGAGAACAATATTCATCGAGCCCGAATATTGTACTCCTCAAGTGGCTAAATCATCGTACTCACTGAAAAAAACAGCAATAACCATTTTATTATATGATTCATTATTATATGATTCAATGATTAAATGATACAAACTCGTTAAGCAAACCATGATATCTTCCTTCACTGGATACATTTATTGAAGTTCTAGCCATACACTATGAGAAAAGCATGTTTAAATAAACGTAACATTAATTTGCATTAATTTAATCATTCAAGCATATAATAAATACAAATTATTGTTTTCCGTTGATTTTCCTAGTGTTTAATTTTATTCATCTTGCTAATTAATGTAAACATTGAGGAAAATATATTCAAAATAAAGATGTATTTACTTACAAATTGTCGACAGATTGGCTTTCAGGTCGGAAAATTTTGTTTGTAGATTTCTGTAATTATTCTCACATGTAATGACATTGGTACTCAGGTCTGAAAAGGACAGGTGGAGGTAAACTATAAATTTTGCTTGGCATTTTCACACGCGCAAGAATCAAATCCATATACATGTATATGCATTTAATTTCCTTGCGTACCTTGTATCTGAGACTGGATGCTAGTTATTTGTTTCTGCAGTTCTATCCGGAGTTGTTGTTCTTGAAGAAGAAGTTGATGCATAAACTGGGAATCGAGAGTGTTCGAGGAGGACGCTGCCGTGGGTGGCGTGGGATAGGCCTTATTCAGAAGACAATTGATGTCCGAAATAGAACAAAAAAGTAAAAACAAGAGCGGATATACCATGCTGTCAACGTTATATGTATCTATATATACATATGGAGGAATAACAGATAACATATCCGTGTCAGGAACTCTTATCAAATTAATAGTGCTTGTAGTCTTCTAGAAAATGACGAATTCAGATCATGCAATTAAATATAGAAAAAAAATCCTTTTTGTTTTAACATTGACATTCATTATCACCTGAAACATATATTGGAAGAAAAAAAATCCAATTCGGTTTGTCTGTTTGTATTCCAATGCAAAAATACCCTGCTTTGTTCGTGAAATAGGTTACCCTGTAAATGTATTTCATCAATTCATAATTTATTTCATGGTTTATGCTGCCTATAAAAAATTATCAAAAGTTAATTAAGCACAGAAAACTAAACTATGCTACAAGTATAAACAAGCTAATTCAGGGAATTTATGTTCTTCGGACAGAATTACTAGTATGGAATGGCAAATTAACATAATATACAAATATTTCAATCATTTGAAGATACATGTAGATTTGCACCCATCTTCAAATACGAGTATTTGTACCTATCTTCAAATATTTGTACTTATCTTTAAATCAATTGTACCTATCTCTAAATGAATTGGAGGTTTAATTCTTTAATTCATTTGGAGATAGGTACAATAGATTTGAAGATAGGTATAATAGAATTGTAGGTAGGTACAAATACTAATAATTTAATTCTGACTGTAACACGCAATCTGATTGGATAGAAAAAATCATTTATATCGTATAACCTGTGTTGCCTACGTCACAATAACTTACGTCAACAACGTGCGCTTGACGTTACATTTAAAACTTTTACAATTTGAAGGCATTTTTGAAGGATAAATTGTCTTAGTTTTTTTTTTACAATAATTGATAGAAAATAAAAAAATATAAGGAATGAATTGAAAAGCTACCCAAGTTATACTTGTATAACCACAGGCGCCTGAAGTGTGGATCGACACCCCCCCCCCCTTTTTAATTAAAAAAAATTGTAAAAGCTTATAATTTCTCAAAAATAAAAAAATTTCCCCGTCAATCACATCCATATGTCGTTCTATGCAAGCAGAGTGTACTTTTTCTTACGTTTAGAGAATGACCCTGTACGGTATTATACCGTACAGAGTCATTCTCTTAACGTAAGAAAAAAGTACAATCTGCTTGCATAGAACGACATATGGATGTGATTGACGGGGAAATTTTATATTTTTGAGAAATATAAGCTCTTACATTTTTTTTTATTAAAGGGGGGGGGGGCTATCGATCCACATTTCAGGCGCCTGTGGTATAGCCTGGGTTGGGGCAGTTTACGCTTTTTTATAAACCGCTTCGCGGTTTATAAAGCGTAAACTGCCCCAACCCAGGTTATACAGTATAATTTGGGTAGCTTTTCAATTCATTCCTTGAAGAATTAAAGATAGGTACCAGCATACGTGATTTAGAGGTATATGCAATTGAATATTGAACCTAGGTATAATTTATTTGTACCTATCATGCTTGTGACCATAACCTTTGAACTTTTCACTTCAAAATCAATATATATCGCCGATATAGGAAATAATTTAAACAGGATTGAAGTGAAACTGGAAACTATTTAATACCATTATACCGTACATGACATTTTTTTTCCACCCTAGTCCCTACTTTACACGAACTTGAAAATGATGATATAAAAAAATGACCAGTACCCCGGCCAACCCCCTAACCTGTGCCAGAGGGAGTCAAAAAGACAATCTTTTCAAGATCAGAATGCAATAACCAATAAATTTTATTGGAAGTACCCCATAATATTCCGGTTGGTTCAAAATACAGCGGGATCGAAGTTTGAGGATTTGAATCTAGATCTTGTCGATACGCACTTAGATCTTTGACCTTTAGTGGACTGAATGCGATGACGTCATTTGTTTGAACTACACTGACGTAAGAGTGTGTTGATCATATCGTTTCATCAACGGATGTGATACTGTTTGACACCAAGACGAATTATTGTTTGCGGTAAGAACTAAGATCCTTTCATATGAGTACTTAAAAAATAGGATTTGTGGGGTTTGTTTTTACGACAGGACTCAATCGCGACAAACAATTTTGTTTTGCCGCAAATTAGCTTTTAAATTTTTAAATTATAAGAATTTAGGAATATAACGTTATTTCTAGAAAAACAATTTTTTTAATAAAGTTATCTATAGATTAAAAGCTTTTAGAACCAGCTTAAATTTTAGTTAGTCTTTCGTAAGTTCTTTGTTATAAACGGGATCTACTTCTGTTCATAACTGCCTCATCCTTGCATAAATGATGACGCGCATTATAAATGATGACAGATAGGCCCTAAAAGAAAAATCTTACGAAGAGTTCTTCTCCAGATGTGACAGTACCACACCAGAAATGCTGATGTCATTATGCTAAGTCTGAAGATATAATTAAAAGAAAACAAACTTGTAGCTAGGCCTATATAATTATTTCAGCTTTGTTTACAGGTCGTAAAATACCATAAGGTTAAGATTTTATTGAGGCTCATAATGATCATAAATATGTGATAAGATTTTTTTTCTAAAGGCGAGTTTACTCCCTTACATCGCATATTCCACTGAATCACAGAAAATAAACGGAAATGACCAAGTAGTTTGCGCTTACAAATACTTTTTTTTTCTTTCATCTTTGTGATACATTCAGTAACGATAAAATAAAATATTGCCACAATTATATAATTGCAGTCCGTTTTGGTGATATTTAAAAAAAAAAATGAAGTTCTAATGCCATTCAAAGCACTTTTCCCCATAGCATATATATAAATGTACGTATATTTTTTTTTACTACAAACTTTAACAGTCTCTACCTAAATGCGCCAAAAGTTTGAAATGCAAGAAATTATCCACATTATTTTGTTTGTTTCACAGAATAACAGAATGAAGGATTAACTATTGCTGATTAATACATCTCAAAATACTGTCAAATAATACATATTATCCGCGAGAACTTTATTTTCGAATAGTTACCCGAGACTGATTGCTCGCGAACATTTCTCTCTCTTGTATTTTTGTATTAAAAAGTCATATAAAATCAATGTGTCTTTGCATGAAGAGGGATTTTACTCATTGCGTTCTCTCGCACTATCTATAAAGAAAATAATATACTAGTAAATAGCAATGACTACAAGGTCAAAGATAAAAAAAAATGACAACATTTGAAATCCAATTAAAAGCAGTTGAAGTAGTACTAGATGAAACCATGGAAAAACTATCTAAATTTACTGAGAACTCCAGACTATATTTATACAGTAAAATAATGTAGCCTGAAAAGGAGGAGTATCTTATGCTTGAAAATAGTTTCAAGAACAGGTAATTGTTAGCTAAATTTCGAACAAGTAACCACTGCCTATTGATAGAAACTGCAAACTTACTGAAGAAAATGCCTCGATAACAAAGATTATGCTCTTTCTTTGGGTACCACAATGTTTTTCTTCTCGAGCTAGACCTTGGAGTTTGACCAACTTTTGCACACACACCCCCCAAAAAAACCTTTAACTTTGGCCTTAACTTTTGAACGGTTGGTGAGAGGACTTTTGTACCTCACATGTGTACCTTTCCGTGGGTACCAACAATTTTTGACCTTGGAGTTTGACCTACTTTTGTAAATTTTTAACCTTTGCCATAACTTTTGAACAGTTTGTGCTAGGGCTTTCATATGTCACGTGTATTCCTTGTCACAAGACCTTTCATTTGGTACAAATATTTTTTTGCCTTTTGACCTTGACCTTGGAGTTTGACCTATTTTGAAACACTAACCTTGGCTATAACTTTTGAACGGTAGGTGCTAGAGATTTCATACTTCACATGTATATTTCTTGTGACAAGAACTTTCTTTGGGTACCAACAATTTTCACCTTAACCTTGGAGTTTGACCAACTTTTGAAAAATTCAACCTTTGCCATATCTTTTGAATATTTTTATGGTAGGGCTTTCATATTTCACTATGTATTTCTTGTGACAAGAACTTTCTTTGGGTACCAACACTTTTTACCTTGACCTTGGAGTTTTTACCTACTTTTGAAAAAATTAACATTTGCCATATCTTTATAACAATTGGTACTAGGGCTTTCATATTTCACATGTATATTCCTTGCGACAACACCTTTTCCTTGGGTACCGAGATTTTTTACCCTTTGACGGTTTGACATTGATCTTGGAGTTTGGCTTACTTTTGAAAAAGCTTTAACCTTTGGGTACCAACAATTTTGACCTTTTGACCTTGGAGATATACCTACTTTTGAAAAAAAAACTTTAACGCTGGCCATAACATTTGAACTGTTGATGCTATGCCTATGGCCGTCATATTTGACAGTTTATTCCTTTGTGTCAAGGCTTTTTCTAAAGTATCATTATTATTTTTTTTTTACCTCATTGATGTTTACCTTGAATTTCCACCTACTTCTGAACAAACTTAACCTTGACCATAATTTCTGAATGGTTGCTGCAAGGGCTTCATATACTGCAAAGTAAATTATTGCCAAAACTATTGGTATATGGTGCATCATGGTCTTCACGTAATTATACGAGAGTTTGGGTCCGTCCATCCGTCTGTCACACTTTCTTCTTCCTGCAATCCCTCTTACTATTAAAGCAGTAACCAATTCTTCTTTTGGAATATGGTACTTGGTGTACCATAGATGTTCAATAAGGTTTCAGAGTTTTCTTTTTTATCTTGGTCCAAATGGGAATTAAGAAACGACGATTTTTCTACAAAGACCTGATTCCCAAAACTCCTCATATACATTTTACGCGGTAGCCAAATCATCTTTTGTAAGATGATTGTAGATGTCCTGTAGATGTGCAATGAGGTTTAGGTATTTTCATTTTCACACTTGGGGGTCAAATGGGGGTCGAAAATATCGTTTTTACAGAAACTTGGTTCCTAGAACTACTCATACATTTTACCTAGTGCCAAATCATCTTTTGGAAGGTAATTAGTGCACAGTGCAATGGCTTAGAATTTTCATTTTCACCCTCGGGGCCAAGTGGGGTCGAAAAAATACGTTTTTCATTTTACAAAAACCTGGCTCCTGGAACACCTCTAACATATTACACAGTATCCATCTCATCTTTTGCAAGATGATTGGGGTGTGCTGTAAATGTGCAATAAAATTTCGGAATTTTCATTTTCACCATAGGGGGCCAAACGAGATCGAAAAATGACGTTTCAGTTCCATTTTGGGCCTTTTATTTTACTTTTTCTTTACAGAAACACATTTTCTAAAGTTCCCTCTTAAAAAATCAGAATTTACTTTATTACAATCATTAATTTCAGACCAGTAATTAATTTATTATTTAAAATACCCCATAACTAGCAGGGCCATGGTCATATGCTCACCTGTGCATTTTATGCTCGATTTGATGCATGTATACATATTTTATGTAAATAACAGAATATCTATTGAGACTACCCAGCTACAAGGGAGCTAGCGCGTGCATATAGACTTACGTGCAGATATTTTACTGTCTTATATGATAGCATCTACATGTAGTTTATGATGTTTTCCTGGCGGGCGTATCGTGCCTTCTCGGAGCACTTTACTGTTTATTACAAAACTTTAACCGTGCCTTTTTAAATTTTCCTTATATCTGTGTCGAATCCCCTTTACTTTTCTCGACTTACGCCTCCCATTGTTGCCAATTCAATCTTGACATAAAATCACATTAAATATTAATAACATTCATATGCTTGTCTCTTGAATTTCATTACATGGTTGATTTTTTATTTTGTGAAATGAAGAGCACAGAGTTTGCATTTACTGATACTAAATCAAAGTTCCGGGTCAAAAAGTTATTATAGTAATTGGTAATTTATGCATTAATTGGCCCTTGAATTTGCAAAGAAATTGTGATGCCTTGTACTGTGTATTGAAATCTCCTGTATTGAGTCTAAAATTTACGTCACGGGTATATTATATTCCATAATACAAAAACGTGCACAAATTTCTTCATTTTTAAAAATCTTTTCTTAAAATGATCTGCTATACCACCAAAATCGAAAAACTTTCATGGCACTTCTTACAATGCAAATGTGGTGAAACTTTACACTAGCTGAAAAGCTTTTTGACTTGGGTGTCCTAAAGTGGAGTTACAATTAAAACCCCAGTGTAAGGACCTCGAAGCCAACAACACAAAGCTTTGAACACCCAGGTTGGTAACGTATTTGCATTTAATTAGTAATTAGTAAAAAATACCAGTTTAATGTAAATATATCAAAAGAATCGAAAACTCCGACGATAGTCGTTGTTATGTATGGTTCTGTCAAGGTTTGATTTTGATGGGCGTACACTTGATGCTGTAAACTTTAATTCAGTCTTATGTTTTCCTCTTTTTTTTGGGGGGGGGGGAGGAGTTTACATGTACATGTATTAATAACCTGTATCATGGAATCAATGGATTCTAAAATAAATGACGACAATGATAAAGTTGTTTAGATGATTTATTGACTTTTTTTAATGAAGTCATACGTTAATAATAACCGGCCATTTATATCATGAACGGTAGTCATATTTATTTAGTCATTTTTTTTTCTTTGGATTTCGTTAACTTAAATTCAAATTTAATTTAATGATTATTAAAGAATGTTATAGATAAATAGTTTATTTATACATATAGATAAAATCGTTAGTTACTTTTATTGTTTGATTTTTGTTTTTGTTTGTTTTTAAACAATATCCTATAATCATTTCAACAGCGTCTTTTATATGTAGCAGACTAGTAGTAGAAGTTATCGTGGCATCAACAATGCTAGGTCATTGAATTCGCCATTCACGGCAAATTTAATCCATTTAAGTTCTGGAAAAAAAATCGGAATTCAAAAAAGTAACAAAATCTTGAGATGATGCGAAGTTCGTTGCTCAAAATTCATCCAGTTAGAGGGCTTTATTTATGAATATTCACTGACATGTATCACATTTTCTTCTTTAACTTTATTGGAAATAAAGCTACATAATTAGTTTAAACGAGTTTACATCGCGATACAAGCCAACCGGTAAATCTCCAGTAAAGGTGATTTATTTAAAATTTAATTTGACTTTTATGTCTTCTTTATATAGTGGTATATCCAAAATGACCATAAAAGATGTGACATTTCTGATGTTGTGGAATTTGGTACTGTACCATGTTGGTGAGTTATTCTGAAACAGTACATGACATGTATATGTAGTAAAATAATTTTGTGAGGGTGAGGTAGGGAAAGGGTGTGGTCTTAAACACCCCCCCCCCAAATTAAAAACTTTAAAAAAAAATTTAATTTTTTTTTCGAGGGAAGTGAATAGAATATAATTCAACATCGTAAAACAAACCAATCCCATCGAAAATCATGTGTATTTTAAAGTTACAATTGTAAAACGTTAAACTTTGCCAAGTGAAAAAAAATGTCAAACAGATATGTGAATTAGAATAAATAAGGAGAATGATTGTTTTCAGATGATTTTCTCTTCAATGAAGTCACTAATTGCAGCTTGTCTCATATATTTCATTTGTCATTTCTTGCGAAGTTTTATTACAAGCACATTGTTATTTCATGGGCAATTCTCAGTGTTATCAATTTTGGTTTTAGGTTTATTTTCTAGGCGTTAACCCAAACAAAAAGGGAGATAGCAATTCTTGTTGTTTGTGTGTATTTTTTTTTTTTAAAAATCGAGTAGATTTTTCACCTCATCTTTACGAAATAAATACATTTAAATATGAATTACTAAAAAAAAATATTTCAGATAGTTGTACATTTCCCGCAATCTTGGAAGGAAAAACCTGGGAAGATTCCGATAAAGGTCGCCCTATAACCTTTAGCGGAGGTGGAATGACGGGTTGGAGTGTTACATTTGGAGTTGAAACAATAAGTAGCTGGACATGTTTGTTCAACCAAAATAACATTATTGTATTCAAGTAAGAAATACATATGTGAATAGTAATTATATAAGTTTCCTATCGCGTGATTTTAATCCAAAATTAATTGCAACTCAGGTAGACTTAGAAGTCACCCCGCTGGCTGCACAGTATTTTTACCTTTTTAAATGGGCATTTTGTTTTCGTGATTTGGAAATTTATGAGGAGGTATTAACATAAAATATAAAAAATATATAAATAAATAAGAATACAAACGTCCCTTTACATTGTATGAATATTTTGTGAGTATCGTCGGCAAGTGTGAAAGCCAAGAATTTATTAAGATTTGCTTTATTATTCTAAAACATGCAATTCTTTCAAACAGTATGACATCGTTGGCTATGAACAATAATGATGATTTTGCACTTTTTAGGTCCAGTTATGAAAAGAATATACCTTTTGTACCACCATCAACAGAACATGTGTACGTTTGCATGTGGACTGTTTCCGTAGAGACGGACAAAATGATATACTATCTCTTGGCTGATAGTAAGATATTTTTATTCTTCTTCAAATTTACACAGAATTTTATGTGATGTCATACAATTCGTTTTTTAATAGAAAGAATTGTCTTTGATATATCTAACTGCATTTATCATTCCTGATCAAAGTGTTTTCATCTGTCTGTTTGTCCTATGTCCGTATGTCTGTCTGATTACTCGTAACTCTTCACATTTTTGACTTCTTATCTAAATCCAACTGGATCATCTCAACCAAACTTGCCTCAAATTGTCCTTTAATAAAAGGAATTCAGATGAATATATGTGGAGGGTCAATATTCATTTTTCTAAGGGGAGATCATGAAAAGAATTTTGTACTTTCAAAAAATTCTATCAAGTAGCATTACCTTGGAAAATTAAAGAATGATGATGAATAATAAGGACGATGTGATAAAGGAATAACACTGTATTTTACGGATATGATTAATATTAACAACGCACTTTCAAAATTATGCATTCAATTAACAGAGTTCATTCGAATTTATTCAAATACTAATCCGCAAAACATTTGGTAGTTGCTCCGTATAAGTCGAGAGTACTGATCAGTGTAAAATATACCAGGTAATATAATATTTATTATGATTATATAACATAATATAAATAAATTTTATATATATATATATATATATATATATATATATATATATATATATATATATATATATATATATATATATATATATATATATATATATATATATATATATATATATATATATATATATATATATATATATATATATATATATATATATATATATCAAATTTATAAAATATAGTAATTGAAATAAATTATACTATGATGAAATCTAATGCTAATGAAATCTAAATTTTACCAGAGGATGCAGATTCCAATACACGCTTATACGTCAGCGATGATAGTAGTCTGGGTGCTTGTGACGTGTGTAAGTTAGATTTAAGTCTGGACACCTCACAAGGAAAAGCCATGGTTACAAGTGGTGAGTAGGGATATGGAAGGGAGCGCTTTGCATGTTTTGTATGTCATTTCATCCTTGGTATCCCAGTATTTGCTAAAAATGTTCTCATATGTATCGAAATCTTAATTTGCATGCTTATTGAATAAGATTAATATACTCATGGGGAAAAATGAAAAAGTTCACAAAAAATTATATGTTGATTGCTTTGATATCTTGCAAACTTAATAGCGTATTGTATACATGTATTTGAAAAGCTTGCAAGGAATTTTGCTCTGTATATCCTCAACGTGTTTTAACCAATTTCAAAAACGCAGCTAGAATAAATATGTTAATCGATTGTATGGTGCATCTCAAGTGTTGAGTATTTATCTGTACGACGAACGACATAACCCGGAATTCAAAGCAATTCCCGCAAAAAAAAAATCAAAATGAGCATCTTTATGCTGTTGGTATGCTGCAAGATGGATTTAACATCAAGTACTGAATATACAGGATATTTGAATGTTCATCAAAATATGGTCTTGATGGTGACGGCATAAGAAATTTGGTAGGCTCCGTGGAGGCACTCCTTGGAGAGGACGAACTCATGTAATAGGAATACATCGTAGGATTCTCTTCCAAGTCTGACTTAACAGGACTAAGGCCTACCATTCAAACAAATGTTCTAAAACGACTATGAGAGCACAATAGTCAACCAAGACGACTGTCTGTACAGCCTTAACTGCTGCAGTCACCGTAATTCGAGGATTGACTGGTGAATGGCACTTCCTATTGGATTAATAATATGTTAAAAGACGAATCTCGTTCTCATTTGGACATTCATTTTCGACGATTCTTTGCCTAGTGTCGAGCATGCAGGCAATTCTGACAACTGGATTGTTCATGATCAACGCCAGACTTTTGATGGAGGTAGTGTGACAGTGTTGTAAGGCATCACAACAGAATATCTTCAGAGATCGTTATATGAAGTTCGGTTCCGTATCAGAGATCGTTAAATGAAGTTCGGTTCCGTAACGAAATTATTCAGAACAACGCCATCCCGCCTTTTACAAATAGGGTTAATTAAAACCATCCTACACATGTCCATTCCCGGTCAGATGTTGCAAAAGTTGTGCTTGGCTATTTCGCACAGCAGAACATTCAAGTGTTAAAATGGCTAGTTGTTTCTCCTTACCTTTTATTTATAGAATAAAAGTGAAATATCGAATAAGTTACTAGCGATCTCTGGACTCCAGTTACTTTAATTGGTCTAGAACTTATCCATAAGTGGAACAACATTGAACAAGGATTTCTTAACTCTCCAGTGATATCTTTGAGACACCAATGTCAACATTGCCTTAACTACATGTATTATGGTGATCACAACTGTTATTAGCGATTACTTTTTAAGGGACCCAAAATATCTTTTATATACTGTGCTAAAGAAATGGCATTGTAATATAGCTATACATTATGTACTTAGAAAGCAAATAAATCATTAAAAATGTAAATTACCTCATTAAACCTGTTTTTTTTTCTTTATAGAAATTTTTTTTTTAAATTCAACTTGCTCATTATCAATGTTATCTCTTGTTCGTGAACTTTTCTTGATTTTTTGTCCCTGTGCACTGATATTGTTCTAGTAATATTAACCTAAAAATGACAATTTTTTGATGTTTAGGAAGCCCATCCTCAGTCACAATACCAGCTCAATCTGGTCCTTGTAGTGGATGTTCATGTACCCCAACGACTGAAACATCCACAATGTCTATAACATCTACGTCATCTGAAGCATCAACAACGTCAACAGTATCTTCAACTACCACAGTATCAACAACAACCACAGCATCTACAACAACCACAGCATCCACATCATCCATGGCATCTTCAACATCAACAGCATCCATAACGTCCACATCATCCATGTCATCTATAACATCCACAGGATCTATAACATCCACATCATCCACAGGATCTATAACATCCACATCATCCGCACCATCCATGGAATCTATAACATCCACAGCATCCACCTTTGGAAATCAAAGTTATACAGGATCCAGCCTCAATGACAATAATTCAGTTGTTCTATACACAGCGATTATAATCCCCACTGTTCTAGTAATAGTTCTTCTTTCTATTATAATTGTGGCTGTCATCAAGTCAAAGAAATCAAGCAATGCGATAGCAACGTTATCCCCGGAATGAAAATAGATACTGGATGTATTGTTGTTTAGATTTTAAGGATATAGATATGTTCCATACAAATTTTGGCCTCTAATTTGTGTTTGTGGATTTGAACGCAATGAAAGTGAATGTTGTTCAGATGCAAATTATCAATTGGTAATGGTGGTGAGAGTCACGAACTGAGAAAGGAAATCTTTCTTGTGTGAAATGGAGAATTAAAACCTTTACTCCATGTCTCAAATGCTGTGATAATTATTACTAGTAATCCAGTATATTAGCTTATTTATGCATGATTTACTTGCTCATTCCTTCAGATCTTTCATTTATTTTGAAAATTCTAGTCTGCTTTACTATATTCCCTCCATTCTGGTTGTTTATATTATTTTATTTCCTTCATTTTGGTCTTTTATTGGCCAGTGTGTTATGTACTCTTGATTTATGTAACTGTTATTTGATTTTAACAAAGCCTTATTTTAATGTCAATGTTTTAAATTAGTTGTTTATTGTTCTGTAACTTCTTTTCATTAATACATTTAAACTTTTGCTTTTTGTTGCAATTTTGTCCCTTTGCAGTTGTATTATTCTGATAATTTTAATCTACAGATCATTTTTTGATGTCTAGGAAACCCATCCTCAGTCACAATACCAGCTCAATCTGGTCCTTGTAGTGGATGTTCATGTACCCCAACGACCGAAGCATCCACAATGTCTATACCATCTACAATGTCCTCAGCATCCACATCATCTAAGATAACAACAGTATCCACAACCTCTGAAACCTCAACGTTATCCACAACATCTGAAGCCTCAACATCATTTATAGCATCTACAATGTCCCCAGCATCCACACCTGCTACAGCATCCACAACATCCATAAAATCCGCATCATCAACAGCATCTACAACAAAAACAGCATCCACAACTTCCAAAACATCCTCAAAATCCATAGCATCCACATCATCTATAACAATGTCATCCATAGCATCTACACCTACCACAGCATCCTCAACATCTGTAGCATCTACATCATCCACAGCATCTGAAGCATCAACATCATCTACAACACCAACATCATCTGTAGTACCTACAGCTCGCATATCATCCGTAACATCATCCCTAGAGACTCAAACAACTACAACTCTCACTGAATCTACATCATCCCCAACATCTACTGCAACATCCACAATGTCCATAGTATCAACTTTATCCACAGCATCTACAGCAATTTTATCTGCAGTATCTACAACTCCCATATCCACAACAGCATCATCTATAGCATCCACAGAGACCACAACATCTAGAACTCTCACAGCATTCAAAACATCTGTAGCATCAACAACGACTACAGCATCATCAACTCCCACAGAATCGACATCTACCCAAAGAACATCTGCAACATCCACAACATCCATAGCATCTTCTCCATCCACAGCATCTACAACTCCAACAGCATCCACAACATCCACAATTTCCACAGCATCCCCAAAATCCCTAGCATCCACGTCATCTAAAACAGTGTCATCCATAGCATCTACACCTTCCACAGCATCCTCAACATCTGTAGCATCCACAACATCTAAAACATCAACATCATCTACCCTTTTGTCAAAGTCAATTTACGACAAAAGTATTTTGCCAGTCATGACAAATGAAGCCTTCATCACAATGCTGACTTGTGCATGTTTCATTCTGATAATCATTGCAATACTTATCATTGTTTATGCATTTTCAACTAAAAAACCTTCTTTGGAATATAGTCCAAAGGGATCTAAAACCTCCATATATAGTAACAATAAGTGTTACAGTTGGACTGTTTGACATTCATTTATTTTCAATACCTCCTTTAAGTTTTATTAAGATATGTCACAGTTTCTACTGATTTAAACTATTCATATGATCAATTAGTTTATTACAAATTAAACAATTTTATGTGATTTTTAAAGCAATTAATTTATTAGCGGTAGTAATTGGCGAATTGTTTATTGTTGGAAAATGTTTCGTATCAATAAATTAAAAAAAAAAGACTCTTAAAACCTCAGAGTACACCAACTTGTTTGCTGCATTTCGACATCTAAAAACCTGTACAATTATCAGACTAAAAGCCTTATAGAAAACAATTTCTCATGGTGATAAAAAAAAAATGAATACACATACCGACGAATCTTTTCAGAAAAAAAAATTGCAGTTCAACATGTCCATTTCATAACAGACTCTTAAAAGTGCAAAAGAAACATGATATGATTATTCTACACAATGTGGAATTTGTCTCTATAGCATAGGGTTTCCTCCATTTTTGTAACACAACATCCTGTACATTTTTCGAACCGTTTTCCCCGTGTGTGGCTCTACTGATGTTTACGTCTTGTATTTCTAGACATATTTTATATTTTCTGACAGGGATTTAAAAAAAAAGATTAATGTCTGTTCATAACATCAGTGATATTTTCAAATATTTCAAGCCATTTTAAAAATTACATAGTAAACTCTGTGTAAAGAAATGAGTTTCCATGTGTCGCCATTGTTCTTGCTGTATCCTATAGTGAAACGAGAAGATTAATATTTTGAAAAGAGTGCGTGTGGCCAATGTCTTTCATATCTGAAATTTTATTATGAATTTAACACGATTTATTTTGAAGTGTTTTATTATTATCATTTCAGTTAGTCAACAAGTGCAAGAAACATACCAATTTTTAGAATATTACAATACAGAATATTCAAATATCAAACAAAACCCTGGATACTCGAACATCTTTATGAATAAAAAATATTATACGCCCCTTTTGCATGCATTGACTGAACAAACAGCTGAGGACGATGAATTAAGTAACTTTGTTTCCACTCATGCCAAGTACAATATTTATGTCAAGAGACAAGATATTTTTAACTGAAGCCTCTACGATTGAATCAGGTAAAAAAAATTCCAATCTTTTGGTAAAGGATCTACTCATGTTTTAGACGTTTTTAGTAGAATAACTTTACTTTTAGAACGAAGAAAGTGTTCAGTTTGGACGTTATTGTTGTTCTATATTTTGTTGATGAAGACTGTGAATATAGTGTTTGTTCTATTTTTGTTTAATTTTTGTAGAGAGTTATGGAGCAAATATGCCTATGTTAATGTAGTATTTTGATGACAAAGTTGTTTATAAATGACTCGGCATTTGCGTGTGTGTACATTTTAGTTTGACTTGATGAAGTTGTTTTATTGATTAATACTAATAAAAGGCTTAACTATAAATGACACCGTTATTCTTTGTCAACACTATTTGAATGAATGATTTGACACTGTTTGCAGTGAAATTATGAAAAAAATGACTTAAATATTTTTAACATGGACAATAATAAAAGATGAAGATAACGAACAGATATGAAACTAAAAATTCCATTAAAACAATACAGACTGGGAGCAGAGCAAACACGGACCTATAAAAACATCAGAGGTGGGATCAGGTGCCATTGAGGAGTAAGCACCCCCCACCCCGGTCGACCGGTCACACCCGCCGTGTGCACTTTGTCATGATCCATAGATAATTCAGTGTGGAAAATAATGGTCTAACAATTTGTATGCAAAACGTCAATCAGTTTTCGACTCGACGATAGACTGTATTAGCTAATGATATATTTGTTTCAAATTATAAAAAAAAAGTTAAAGGCAGTACAGAAAACACTTTTTCGTAGTGATATTTCGCTGTATTTCTAATAATTCTTAAAAGTGCAGGGGAAACTATGCTTCATGTATCAAGTAATGATACCATGACTGGGATATTTTTCTTTATTGTCAAATGGTGTTGAGTTTCCCGTATTCTGTCTTTAAGAGGTGCGACAAATAGAATACTAAATACTTGTACATTCAACGTATTCCCTGCACGTTTCCCTCCTGTGTGGTGCTATTGATGGATTAAGTGTTATGTTTCCAGACAAAGAGTACAATATAATCTGACAGGAATTTAAAGACATGATTAATGGTCCTTAATAAGATCAGTGCTACTTCTTGAAAAGCAGTTTCAGATAATAAGTGCTACTTGAATTACACGGCACACTTAAGTTGCATCATTCTATCCTGTGTTGTCATTATTGCTTCTGGCAGGACGTGAAATGAAAATGACTTATTCTCTCTCACTCTTTAAGATAGTTGTCATGATCAATACCTTTTATATTTTTAAGTTTATTTGAGTATACAGTGAAAACTGCCTAATCCGACACCCGTGCAATCCGTTTCACAGTGAATTCTGACCCTTACTAAAATTCCTGTTTTACTGGGGTTTTTATGTTCTTTACACTGTGGAATCTGACACCCTGTCTATTCCGACACAAAAATTGTCTTCCAGTACATACATATTTGTTTAGACAGGTTTCTCTATATCCCATTGAAATGATTTTAAAATTGGCTATCTATAACTTTCAGAGTAGTAATTAACAGGCACTAGATACGACAAAATTTGATTTATGAAGAATACAATGTATTTAGACATTAAACTTTATCCTGGATGCCTGAATACATTGACGAGTGAAAATAAACGGCATGCTTATCGTGGTACATTAACTTAATGTGCAATGGACGACGATAGTGTGGTTGTTTTTTCGCAGCAACTTTGAGTTTCTGTCTACGCAATGCCCAACATAATGCTATGACTATAAGCACCACAAACATTATTATCACAAGACACAACAAAATACTTGTTATCAAAGCCTCGTTAGTAAATAAAAAGTCTTTGTTGGTACTTGATTCCGTAGAAGTAATGGAAGACTCCGCCCTATCTGTAACTGACGTAAGATTTGGCGTGCTGTTATCCGATGGAGCCATAGAGGTGCGCACTAAATCTTTTAAAGTAGTTAGTGTTGGGTTAGTTAGTGGTGAAACCACTGTCGTTTCTGACGTAGGAATGCTTTGTGGATCAGACATTGTAGTGTATTTTTCTGCTTCGTCTGTTGTTAATGTGGTCTTTGTTGTTTGGAATTTTGTTGTTTTGGCGATCTCTGTTAAATCTTCTGTTGTACTGAGTTCTGAGGTAAAATGTGTCTCTGTTGTCGATGTATCGCTTGATGACAGGGTTGTTAGATGATACGTCACTGTGGATGAAAATGCTAGCGATGGAGTAAATGAAGTTGGATACGTTTCTGTATTATTGATAACCTCTACAGATGCGTTAACTGTAGCTGTATTTGACTCTTTGTTAGTGGATGAGGCGGGCTCTGAAGAATGGTGAACAGAAACTGGTGTTGATGATTCTGTGTTTTCTGATGGAGCAAATTTTGTTGGTGGAGCAACTGTAGTTGTCGGTGAATCTATTTTCTCGGTTGAGGATAATGAATCTGTGTCAGCGGTTGAGGATGTCCTTGTTGACAGATTTACTGTAGATGTAGATAAATCTGTGTTAGCGATTGAGGATAACCTTGTTGTCAATGAATCTGTGTTAGCGGTTGAGGATAACCCTGTTAACGGATTTACTGTAGATGTAGATAAATCTGTGTTAGCGATTGAGGATAACCGTGTTGACGGGTTAACTGTAGTTGTCAGTGAATCTATGTTACTGGAGAATGTTGACTGGTTCACTGTATTTGTTGATAAATCTGTGTTACCAGTTGAAACTGATCTCGTAGGAAGGTTAACTGTAGACGTATCAAAGAGATTGGATGGCAGCTTTTCTGGTGTGGTCATTTCTGATGTAGTCACTTCTTGTGTTGGTTGATCAGAACAGATGGTAACTGGGTCACTGTACTGCGTGACATCAATCTGTCCACAGGTGTCTGTAACAAAGTACACATTTATTACATTGATTTTTTTTCTCAATTTTAGATATAAAAATATATGCATATGCCCTGTCGAAACAAAAACTGCCAGTATTATAAAGAAAATTTAACTTGACTTTTAATTTTTTTTTTTGCAAAAGCCTTTCATTGAAATAGCCTTATGTTTAGCTGAATATTAATCCGTAGACCATTTTATTGATAGTTTCTTGGTAACTTTGTTATGCAAAATATCAAAAATTTTGGATATTTAATTTCGCTAAAAGTACCATGAATAAAAATCTGTAGTCAAAACTATTTATTTGTTTAAATTGCATACACCTACAGAGATTCATATTTCTAAAAGTGTTTTAAAGGGACGTGGAAACATTTGTTGCTGTTTTGTTTATAATTTTGAATTTCTATTCTTATTTGAAAATAGGTTCAGTTTAATGAATTGAATTTTACCATGAACATTCTTAATACTCAGTAACAACGGCGTTCTTCATACCTTACACCAAAAACCTGTGTTTGTAAACAAGAGTAGGTGCTCTGTTATTTGTCAACGTTTTACCGGGTGTGTTCGATTTGCTGACGTTGCTCACATCACTGATCACAAACTGACAATACTGTTGTTTTAGTTTTGCTTTCTTACATTACCCTTTTAATTTTTTTTTAACTTTTCTTTATTATAGTTTTAATATTTTTATTAATACACATCAGATTTCCTACTTTCCTTGAATATTAAAGAAACATTCTAGTTTACGATAGCGCAAGGATTTATGACAAACACACCTACAATTCGTAGTTTCGATAATGAAAGAAGTTTCTAAACAGTTTTTCATAATATATCGATCTGAAACGCTCTTGCAGTATGTAAGTCCCAAAATTTTGAATTTTGAAGATAATATTTAAATATGTGTGTCCATGGCCATTTTATGCGTTTGTTGAAAATCTGTGTATTTTTCATAAGTACACATAAAATGAAACAGGAGACCAAATTTGAAGGGCCTAAACGGTCACCCGAATATAAGACAACACTGCACAGGATCCATAGAAGTATAAAATAAAACAAAATAATCTGAAAAATGAAGTTATATTGCCCAAAGGCAAGAGATATTATAGGATAATTAGGGATCAACACAATAATTAGTCTAGTAATCAATAAAAAAAAATTAAATAAGTTTCTACTTGTCTGTACTTGCCCCCATTTGTCAATATCACCATTCATACTAAACAAAATAATGCATGTAGTGTTGAGCATTACTAATAAACCTTCTCATTCCCTCAAATTTCCTAATTTTAAAAGAGGCATTCTTGCTCAAAATAACCTTTCATTTAGTTTGTCTGCTTAATACCCAATGGCAAAGAAGATTTTCAAAGAAATAGTGCTTTTCACAATATTATCAATAGAGGCCCATCCTAAGACCAGAACCCCTGATCCAGGGGCCATGAGACCTAAATTCTGAAAGAGGCACTATTGCTCATCATAACCATGCACTAGTTTGTTTACTTAACCCTTTAACTACCAGAGATTTTGCATTTTTTCTGCAAAACTGCCTAAAAATTTCAAATTGAAATTTTAACATTTTCTGGTCACTTTTGCATAAAGCAACCTATACATTTCCTGAAAGATAAAATCTTAAAGTTTTTAATTATGCAGAATAAAATGACGTCGTGGTTGCCATGGCAACGAATGAGACCCATAATTGCCAAAAAAATGTGTTTTTCCCCTTTTTCATCCCAGAAATACAAACAAATTTACATATAATGTTTCCATAACAGAGGATTTAGTGATACTATAAAAAACAAGGCATGCAATCAATTAGTTTTTAGTTATACCGGTCAATTTTATTTAATAGGAAGAGTTTATACAATGACACAATGTCCGTCATCCTTAAAACTTTGGCTTTACAGCTGTCTGATTGTCGTAATTATAAGCAATTTTCAAATCGCTTCCCCCCTACAGTTTTTGCCTGACTTCAATAAAATTTGGTATACATGTAAAGTATACTAAGATACACAATTCTTTATTTTAGTATCTTTATTTCAATGAAGAGTGTTGCCATGGTTACAAAAATAGCAATTTTGAGAAGGGAACTTTCTTACAAAACATGGGTATACTATATTCAACGTCATGGTACACATTAAAATACAATATCAACGTTACAAAAATTGACATCTATAAAACGTTGGTCGAAGTAAGAGGAGGGGGGATTCTGCTGAACATTGTCTCTTATTCGTTTGTTAAATGTTGATTTCGGAATCTCGGAATCATGCGAGAAAATATTTTGCCTTAAATACCCATTTTTTCTTCTTTTTGGAAAACCCATATGTTTTAAAAGAAACAATGCCCAGTCGTTTTTTTTTAATATCAAACGGGCCCCTATTTACTTCAGTAGAGTTTTATCATTGAATAAAATTACTTGCCTGGTTCCAGCGACCTTCATCTGAGAACTCACAACACCCTGATTTGTGCTCGAACATACAATATCACTGGTTCATCATTAA